AATTGGAGTTGCCACAGAATATCCATTGGAGTACATTTTTGTTAAAAGTGCATCATACTCTTGTAGCGGATTAATCTAAAATGTTGAAATATTTAAAAAGTGTTAACAATAAATATATTGATCATATCATTCATAGAATAGATTGCCACCAATATTATATATGCTCCAATACGCCATTGCCATGGCTCCCACTCCATCTATGCACATTATTACCAATTGCAATCATATCCCCATATAAACGGCGTGAGATATGCAAATGCAAGACCACAAATATTCGTCTCTAATAATACAAAAGATGTTTTACCTGACCAAAGGGCTCATAAAAGTACAATTACATCCCTCCATTAGTCTCATCGAAAATCTCACGGGGCGAGGATTTCCGCAAAAGCACCACCACAAATCACGGGATTCCGAAATGAAATTCATAAGCTTGACCTGTTTATTGAAAATTACATCAGAGATAAGCATCTCTAATGTGATTTTTGACATTATAAAAAGTCATCCATATCATCAATTTTTCAAAGTGCGTTACAATTTTTTTCATCTTGTCATAAATTGTTTCATGATGAGGTGGATGTCATTTAATGATGACAATGTTGGGCACACTTTCTAATATCTAACACCATGTTAAATATGATGACTCATCAATTTATTTTATATTTGTTTTAGTTTTTTTTTTCTTGCATCAATGAATTATTTAATTAGTCCACCTATACAAAAAACTTCTTATCAAATTTATGCATTTGAGATACTATTTTCATTCAGATTTCTAGTCTTTTAACATTATTCCAATGTGGATTAATATTACAATCACTAATTGACATGTGTTAAAAATAATGTGTCTTTCAAACTCATAGCATTGGAGATGCTCTTAGCTCACAATCTTTTATTCAAAGTTTTGTGTGAATCAATGTTGTAAAAGAAGTTAGACGCTCGTTAGGCGGCAGTTTGGGGTTTAGCGTTAATAGCGCATAAAGGGGGTATTAATCGGGGATGATATAGCATCCAGAATAGTTCGGTTGACCAATCAGAAAGGTTAGATTGATCGTAAACGGACACAGTTATCTAAGAGATCCAGGTAATTACTCGGAGGTCGGTAGATTTAAGAAGCTAGGATGTAGGAGAGACCTCATGACAAGTAGGTCGTTGGGGCTGAGGTTGTAGTTACGACCTGGATAAGACTACTGGCAAGACACTGGGATATATGAATTTTTATTTACTTTCAATCTAAAAATAATTAGGCTTAAAACATCCATAAATATATTGGATATTTAAGATAAAAAGGTATTAATTATGTTTCACATCATATCCTATTGTCGACATGATTATAAGGCATAATTTTTTCTCCAACCTTTTTTTTTATTTTTTTTTGAAAATACTAACATAAATTATAAAATATTTAAAAAATAATAAGTTTTTCATTCTTATCAATTTTTAATATATAATATATCAAATTAATCATATCCTGATGACTTCGCTTTTGACATCAATATTATACGTACAAGATTAATAAATAATTATATATATTTTTATAATTAAAATTAAATTTGCTATTGATACTAGTTAAAAAAAATAAAATTATTTAAACTAACTTAATTAACTACAAAGTAGTTGTATGATATAAGTTAAAAAAAATTGTTATAATATAATTTGGAAAGTCGTATAAGTCACGGATGTCATTTTAAATATAAAAAATAATATATTTAAGAAAATATTTGAAAATTAAAACAAATTTTCTTATTATTATCCCCCTATATATTAATTCAGAACGTACTGAGCCTAAGTGGCTGGATCGAATGCTTCGGAATTATATATGGCAAAATACATGGTTCGTTATTAGGCTTGAGTAGATTTTATTTTACTTCCAATCCAAAAATAATTAGGTTCGTATTATCCATAAATATATTGATTGTTTATGGTAATGTTACATGTATTAATTATATTTTAATGTAATTTCTCATTATAATCATTGAATTGTAAATATATTTTAAAAGTTTAATAACTTTTGTATTTTTATCAACATATATAATACATCAAATTAATCATCTCTTGATGAGTTTCGATTTAACATCCATATTGTATGCATAAAAAAATAAATTATATTTATCTTTATAACAATTATAAAAATATTTTTCATATTAGTTAGAAAAATAAATTATTTATCAATTAATATATTTTTATTTCAAGTAGCTATGATATAAGTTATAAAAATAGAAAATGCTACAGTCCAGTTACGAACTATTTCGTCGGGATTTGTAACCGTTAGATGCACATGACGAAATAGTTCGTAACGGGACTGTACCCTTACCCTATAAAAATTACTATAATATAACACATGTAAGTTGCATAAGTAACAAGTGTCATTCTAAAATATATAATAATATATATTTTTTGTAGAAAAATAAATAAATTATAAAATATTTTTTCTCATTTATTTTAAAATTTAAGAATAATTTTTTAACAAGCGCTCGTGTAATACACGGGTGTTGTACTAGTTATTATTTAATTTTAAATACTAATTTTATACTCCCTCCTATTTTTAATAAATGTCGTTTTGAGAAGTTGCCAGTAATTAAGAATAATTTTTTTGTCAATAATAACCCTTGTTAATGAAAATAGAGATTGATGTTTTGAGAAAATATGGAGAGTGAATATGAAAAGACGTAATGTATTTATTAGTTAGATGAGGGTAATAATGGAAAATATGTATAAAATAGCCAAAACGACATTTATTTAGCAAATGATCAATTAAGGCAGAATGACAAATAATAAAAATAGGAGAGAGTAACAAACATCCGTATAATAAATAAATATTCTACTCCCTCCATTTTGAAATATAAGGCATTTAAGGTTATTGCACAAATATTAAGGAGACATTAATCAATGAATAAATTGACTAAATTAACCTTATTTACTCTAATCACAACCACTCCACACTTCCTTAATTTCAACATAATGAGGGTATATTTGGAAAAAAATGCAAAAATTTGTCTTGATTTTTGAGCGCGCCTTATATTTCAAAAAAAATGAGAAATCTTTATACGCCTTATATTTCAAAATGGAGGGAGTACTAGTTAATAAATTGAAAAAGTAAACGAAAGTTTGGACTTGTTGGGTGCAGTGCACAAACCACGACCATGAGTAAGTCAACATTCTTTCTCAAGTCACAAGCTCTAAATTCAATTTTTCTTTCGCAATAAATAAGCATTATATATTATATACTCCTATATTTGCCAGTGGATCCGTTACTTTCCGTTTCTCTACGTACGGTGTTGTACGACTGCACAATTCTTCTCTATACTTTAATTTCTTCAACCTTTTTTAATTGTTATCTTATCTATAGCGGATTCTCATGTTCCTAGCTACCTTTTATTGCAATATCAATCCCTTCAAAAAAGCCGCAGGCGATATCTCCTATGGAGTTTGCAAAAGAAAACCACATGCATTAAAATAAAATTTAAAAACAACCACAGAATGTACGCAATTACTAACAACTGGAAAAAGTACTCAATTCAAATTAGAGTATAACAATAATATTAATAATAATAATAATAATAATAATAATAAAGCGGAACTGGAACATACCAAAGTCCCTTTCAGCTGCCTCACTTTCCTACATCATTAGGAAAAAGCCCTAAATATTTCTTTTTGACTCCTCCACTTTGCCCGTCTACAACATACAAAGTATTCACAGACGAGAAGCCCCAATTCACAACATAATTAAAAGAAAAAAATTATATATCCTCTCCATTATATATGTTTAATTCTGATATCGGACACCTATAGAATAACAGACACGACGTCGTTTTGGATCCCTCCACCCACACCCGCTACAACTCATCGGCCAGAGAATCAAGCAAGTCCTGCGCGTCACGACGCGCCCCGCCGAGAGCGTGGAGCACGCGCCGGAAGACAAAGACGCGGCAGGGGATCCGGAGCACGCCCCTCTGCTCGTAGCCATACTCCTGAGCCGACCGGTTGAGCAGCTTTACGAAAATCGGGTGGTTCAAAAGCTCTGCGCTGACCACGAATCTCTCCATCTCCTCCCCGACGTACACCGGCAGGTGGCCCTCCGGCACCCGCCCGCCGCCGCCCTCCGCCCGCCGCTCGGATCTCAGCAGCGAGGAGTCTGCGACCCTCGAAAGCCTCCGCATCAGCTTCTTCATGACAGATAATTAAATAATTAGTATAATTGGTGGGACGTTTATTGTTTTAGTGAGAGAAAGTGGGGATGGATGGATTTAATTGGGACGATTGGTTGGGAGAGGTATTGAGGGATATTTATATATATAAATGTAGGGAGGGTAAAACACAAACACCAAGGCAACACACAGAAAGGCAATGGAGAAGGTACAGATAGGCGTACTTGGCAGGTACAATTATGGTTTGGCGTTGGAGGTGTATTTATTTATTTTTAATTTTCTTTAAATAATAGTATGTATTTTGAAAGCGAAAAAAATTAAAGTAATTAGGGGAAAAAATGCTTATTAGGCGGAAAAGGAGAGGACTGAGGGAAGCAAAATTAGGGTGGGTGTTGGATTTTAGGGGGATGACAAATCATGTGATGTGAGCTCGCAACTTGTTGGGCTCCTGGCCAGGACTACAAGTTTTTGTTTTTTTTATTGAAATGCTATTAAACATATAACTCAATAAAGTACCATCGAAGTGTCAACTGACACCACCAGATGAACATGACAAAGCCTGAATATACTATATTTGCGAATTTACACACATACTACACTCCTTGAGCAGTGTGATACAATCCCAATTTTTTCCAATGAAGCCCCTTAGCTTGATCTCCACCTTTGCTCTACTCTCCTTGGGCAGTGTGATAGAATCCCAATTCTCCTTGACATCACGTGTATTTAAGTAAGAAAATTAATATAACAATCCGTTATATATGGGATGTTATCATATCCTAAACATAATTAAGCTTACAATTTTCTAAAAGTCGTCCACCAAAAAATTTAGAATTCACCATTATCTAAAAAAAAAAGAGACTAGTACGACTGAGTTCCATGATCATAGAAAGAAACCTAGAAAAGTAGACCAAAAAAAAGGAGACCAGTACGGCTCACTTCCATGATCAACATAAACAATAATCAACCAAAAAAAATAAAAATAAAATAAAATTGTTCCATTGTCAATTTTTTCATCAACGAAAAAATCTTCTAATATACTGAAAATATACTGGCTATACACGCAACATATACTGTCGACACCTCCAGAAATGAAAATATACTTCTTATACACGCAATATATACTATCGATACTGCCTATACATGCAAGATATACTTCCACCATGCACGCAACATATATTGCCGACATATCATTGAGTACACATGACAAAATTTTTTAATATAATGAAAATATATTGCCTATACACGCAACATATACAGCCGATATCTCCACGAGCCCGAGCTTCGACCTCGCCTTCGTCATCTCCAACTTGACCTCCCCGCTGGAAAGGGGGAGGGAAGGGACGCACAGCCGCCTGAGTCCATCGTTGTCTCTTCAAAACACAACCGCAAGGATAAAAAAAAGTAGCCACCGCATCTCCGACCACCTTCGATGAAGCCTTCCTAACAGCCAAATCTCTGTAAGTTTGATCAAACTGAAAAAAAGTTAAACCATGATAGGCGATCCCCACCCGACTACAATTGCTTCTCGAAGTTGGGTTTTTTTTTTTTGGTACCAGATTTCGATCGCTTTTCGCTTGGATATTGGGAGGCGTGAACTCAACCTCACTTTTGGAATTTCATCGGCGTCGCTCGATGAATCTCTACCAACATCCGGCGGAAGTTTAGTTTCACATAGTTTGTCTTCTTAGTTTCGCCAGGAGTTATTTGCACGATATAGTATTCAGTTTTGGGTCAATTGATATGAACTTCCTTTAAAACCGCTATTACCATAATTATCGTGGAATTATGTGTTAGTTAATATTCTAGTATGTTTTTCAAATAAAATACATATCTTTGGTTGCTTTGTAATTGATTATATATGGCATGTATTTATGTAATAAATATTGTAACATATGGTGCACTAGGTAATTTCCTCTTAAATATTTGATGTGGAGTTTTAATTAAGGGTGGGTTAAATAACAAAACACACAAATACAATCCTGAAACAGTTATACAGTTGGAACCAGATAGAGGCATACACGTAAAACACAAATGTACTCTAGAATCTACTACACTACACGCATCACAAGACTAAAAACTAGCGAAAACTAGAATACTAACTCCACAAGCGGGTTACTTCTTCCTAGCAGGGAGAGTAAGAAACCAACACAATATACAAAAACAAACCTACAAACACAACCCAAAAGAAACAACACCTAAAAAATATACTAAAACCCTCCCCGCAGCCAGTAAAAAACTCCAAGCCTCCACCCGTCGACCCATCACCTGATGGAGACTACACAAGGAGACAGAAAGTCCAAGCCAGATCTAAAACCTTAAGTAAAGAAACGAATAGCTAGTCCGGACCCACAGTGGACCAATCCCCCTCCATGCAAGAACACCAACGCAGCCGCGACCGAAGACCTACAACCAACCCTTCCTCCACAACAAACGGCGAACCCAACAAGGCACGACCTAGGACACGCCCCGACACTGTCGGAACCCTATGTCCCCCTAACACCAGGAAAGAGAACAAGAGAGGAGGAAGGAGAAGTCGACGGTCTCTGCTCCGCCCACTTTTAAGCAACGGTCGGAGCAAAAAACGTCACCAACCACCCGTCCGAAGACCACTCCCAGAACCGTCATGGCCGCTCGGGAAGAGGAAGATACCAGGTCGGGAAGAATGGACCACTTCAAGGCTGTAGGTGCACCGTTTGGTAAGGAGCAGGCCAAACCCATGGAGAGATTGAGCCGTTTGAGGGGAGGCGAGGCGTAAGAAAGCACGTGAGGGTTTCTATAAAAATTTGAAATTTTGGGACTAGAGAGAGAAAGTTTTTACATTAGGTATTATTCAAGATTTTCAAATGTGTGGTTTTAATTTCCCCCACTCAAGTGGGTTAAATGTTAACTGAATATAAAATTAAAGACTTATTTAATAAACGCAAAAGAGGAATAGTCAAACTGATGGATCATACGATTGAGAGAAATGTTATAGGTACATAATATTGTATATAGGGGTGTACATAACACTCACATTAAGTGAGACCGATCAAAAATAAAAAAATCAAATGGACCCACTCAATGTGAGTTACATTTATTATGTACTTGTACCATTTTTCTACGATTAATGTGTAAGGAAATCCATCATGTTAGCCATGATTCTTACAACTCTTCTTCTTCTAATTTGATTTATTTATTTAATATTTCTGTTTTTTCGACTTCCTATTGTTTAGATGACAACCCATTTAATTAGCTAGAGCTTAAAAGTGTACATTTCTACGGTGGAGTTTTTTCATCAAATCAATTAACCAAATTTAGTATAAAGAAAAATATAATGGGTTCAGTGGACTTGTCGTCAAAAATAAGGCGGGCTTCACGTATCACATAAACTTGGCTGCATTCCAAAATCAGTTACAAAACCATAAAATAAGTTAGGCAAAATTTAAAGAATGGTACGCTATGTTTGATCATTTTTTGAAAAAGATCCATCATGTAAGACGTCATAAAATGATCCATTAAGTTGACACCCTATATGATGAACGTTTTTCGAAAAATAATTGGCATAGTGTACTAAAAATAAAATTTAACAAAATAAGTTAATCGATTAGAAATGAAAAAATGCAAAAAATGTCTTGCCAAACATCTAAGTCGAAATTTCCTACTCATTTTTCCCACAATATAACAGGTCTTGTCTGTCAATGCTCTTGGAATGAACTTGTCAAGAATTTGTTGTGGCAACTAATTCCGTAAAACATTGGAACGTGTTTGTTTCATAAAAGAAATACATCTCATATCAATTTCTATAATCAAATCAAAGCCAAACAAAATGCCAATGTTAGTAAAGGCAAGTAATATCCAACTTATGAGTTGTTATAACAAAAGTGTGATGAGTAAACATCAACCCTTAATTACCACAAATTTTCTTTATACAATTTTAAAATAAGATCATAATATAACATGAATGTATAGCCAATCTCAATCTGCCGAGGAGCCACGCACAAATCGCCACCTCCGTCATAGTTCGCATCCTTTATCGACGAGTCAGTGGTCGGTTCCACAGTTCTGGTTCCAAAACTATAATTTCGTTGATTTTTAGATAAATTCATGATATTTTTATTTTAAGGCGGTTCTGCATATTTAATATACTCTTTATGAAGTATGTTACCAAAATGTTACAAAGATTCACTATACCAAAATTATTATATTTTAACGGAAAATCCTACGATAATATATTTCAACGGATATTCCAATAATATAGCTTGCATTGGAATGATTCCAATGGAAATTCTAACGGAAATATTGCGTTGGAATGACTTTTCCATTGGAATTTTAGATAAAATTTGATGATTCCAACGACTATTTTTCCAACTGTTTTTTACCGTAGGAATTTTTGTTGGAATATGCAATTTCCGTTGGAATTTTTATTTCCACCTCCGTTGGATAATCTACTATTGGAATCCGTCAAAATCCAACAAAAAATTCATTCCAACGGAATATTTTTATTAGAATTTCCATTGGAATTCCATTAAAATATATTTGTATTAGAACTTTCCGTTTGGAATTTCATAATTTTGTTGTAGTGATTGAATCAATATATGAGTTTAATTTCATAATTAATTTTGTTTGTTTCTATATTTGATAAGATGAATATCATTGGATTATATTGTTGATATCTAGAATAAAAAAATTAAATGTACTTGCCGAAACACTTGCTCTTTAACAAAAATAAAATAAAAATAAATTAAAACTAAAGGCCCACTTTAAATGAAAATTTGATCATATAAATAATTGGTAAAAGTACACATTTATACTATTTTATTTTTTTTTCTTTTTATTGGTATAATATTTTTTAAGAAAATTTATGACTTTTTTTAACTTTTCAATTCTAAATATACCATATTTGATAAGAAAAAATTTTAAATAAAAATTCCACTCATATAGTCATATTCTCATAAATGATAAAGTTACAAGAGTATATTTATCAGAATACATGAAATAAATCATTTAAAAATGAATTATATAAACAATATATAGAAAATGAAAAAAGAAAAATTTTAATTGCATAAATTCATCATTTTATGACTATGAATAATCAAATAAGAAACCTAATCTCATTAAAATATGAGACCACAAATAAATAAGTCTCGCACGGCCAACATGTTTAGTCTTCACTCAAAATGTCATAATAATATATGAAAGAGATACAAAAAATATCCAGAGAAGTTGCAAGGATATAGAGCTTTTTCTTTGTCCATTATTATGGTACTAGTACAATACCAGTTTATTACACGATTTCATGTTAAGAAACTTATATTTAAAATTACGAATAATATTTTATTTACAAAAATATCACCGCCTTAGTTATTTACATCGGTTTCGGCAAAACCAATATCAACATCTGATGTGAAAAGTATTTTTTACATCGGTTTTGACAAAATCGATGTAAACACCCGATGTGAAAAGTGTTTTTTCTACTAGTGAGAAAATAGGCTCAACTTATAAGCTTAGTGGGCTACTCCTCCTTTCACCAATTGGTTTTGGGATGGAACCTCACTTGAGCTTCATATGGGATTTTCCTATTATGGTGTACTTCACGTGCGTGGGACCGCACCCATTTTCCCCCGTTTCTTACATATACGATTTAGCATCTTGTATTATAACAATTTCGTTTAACTTATATCATACAACTACTTTGTTGTTAAATTATTAAATATTTTTATTATTTTAAATTAATATTAATGAGTAATTTAATTTTTATTATAAAGATAAATATAATTATTTATTTACTTTGTATGTTAAAATAGATGTCAAATCGGAACTCAACAAGACATAATTATTATATATACATATATGAGATATCATACCTGTCAAATATACCCGACTGACCAGCCAACCGGGCCGAATAAACCGGTTGGTCCAGCGATGCTACAGGCATGTCAGACGGAGATACAGATCGAAGAATCCTCAGGTCAATGAGGACGTCGCGGGTCCAAGGAGCACAGACAGGTCGAGCTAAGGTGCTCAGATGGCTTGGTTAAAACTTGACCTGAAGGCGTGACTGGTCGATGGATCGACATGATGAGCAGAGCATATGAGCTTAGCACATGCAACACTCCACCTCTAGGTGATTGAGGTCGGTTGTGCCATTAGACCACCGAGAGCATTGCATGGACGCAAATCGTGAATGGAAAGTGCAGGCCGAGACCGGTCTCTGTGCGGAGTCGGCGGCGGAGGCCGGAGTTGGTGGTTAGCGAAGAAGAACACGAGGCAGCGAGGGTTCTTGTTTACTAGTTGAATTTCAGAATTTGTGAGACTTGAATTTGGTTGCTTATTCCCCTTCCCTATCAAGACATTAGAATAATGGATGTAGAAAATGTTTAATTGCTGCATGAAAATGTTTAGTTTATCACTTGTATGCTAAATTATAACTATTCGTTTATTTCCGCTGCATGAAAATGTTTACTTGTTGAATTTTTGTTGATGATGAAGTTGTCGTACGAAATGTCATGACACGTTGAATGACACCTAGGTAATATTTTGTGAAAAACTTTTGGTACCTTAAATTCTAACAAAATCAGTATTCCCTTTGACAAGATAAGATCAGTGAAGATTTGACTTATATATGTGGGTGGAGAAATTTGATCCTTATGGTTATTGTTAATATTTCAGTTGTTTGATGAATACATGGTAGCTAAATTAACAATATATTTACAAAGAGAATGGACAAAGAAAATGGCATAATGTATTTTATTGTGCATTGATAAATGCATGTAAGAGCGTAAATTGGTCGTGTTTCTCATATTTTTTGCTTGTTCGTGTGTTTTTTTTTTTTCACTGTTGCCCATTCTTTTTTGAGTTTTTACGATTTATACCTTTATAGTAACTGCAAAGTAAGATTCATAATGACATTTTGATGAGTTACTGACGTGTGTCTCAGTTGAAGCGGGGGCCTTCTGCATGCAAGGAGACAAGTGAATTCACGCTTTTGGGGATGTGACATCTACCCATTGATGGCTAGCAACCATTTTCACACTTGGAGGTCTGTTTGACACGAAGGAAGCTCCCCTTGGTCGGTGTGTAGATTGACACTCAATTTATAGAGAGAATAATAAGTGAATCAAAGTGGGAAATTTAAACAAGTTAGCAAACTCTCATCTCCTTCACACACAAACAAACAAACAAACAAACGCACAGCTAATTAACCGCACAAAATAAGCCTCATCAAACCCAGCACGCAACAAGCCATGGCAAACAAAAACAGGGTACCAAAGTCCCTAACAGACCACTTATTAACAGGGCTCGGCCCGGCCCGCAGGCTCTTGGCCCGGCGAAGAGCATCCACCTCCTTCATCAGGTCAAACTCCAGACCTTTCCTCTTGAGCTCCCCCACGCACTTTCCCAGCAGCTTGTAATCCTCTTTCTCTCGATCCAGCAATCTCTGCACGTGGCACTCAACGTCCGTCTTGTACCTGACGGCCCATATGAACCCCATAGAGCACAGGAAAGAGCAGAGGCAGGGGACCCACGAGCCACGGCAGAGGTGGGGCCCACCAGCGGAGGAGGAGAATAGAAGGAGAATGGAGACAGAGTGGAAGAGGAAGAAGAGGGAGTAAAGGAGAGTGAGTTGATTTCGGGCGGAGTCGATTTGGGACTCTTTTAGTGAGAGGCGGCCGAGTATGAGTTCTTCTTCCTTGAGCCATTGCTTGAGGAGGAGCTTGTGGCTCGGGGTCTGCGCGATCTGGTGGAGAGGGTGAAGGGGTTTTGGCTCCATTATTATTATTGATGATTTTGTGCTTTGATGATCGTCGTCATCCATTTATATCTTTTTTTTTTTCTGTGGAAAATTAAATTGAATGGGAGGAGAGGTGGAGAAAGTCAAGGGAGGGATTATTGATTTGGGGAAAAGAGTGATGGAGGAGCGTTTTCTATATGAAGACTGTAGTAACGGTCGAATCTTAATTTCAATTCAATCCAACGGTCGAATTGTGTGTGGGTTGGATTGAGTTGGGCTGACTGGGTTTGAATGAGATTGGGCTCGGGTCACTTTCTCCTCCTTGGGGTATATTGTACTTTGTGGATAGTTCTCATTTAAATTATTATATGTAAAGAATTCGAGAGAGATTTAGCCCAACTCATTTTATTGTTTTTCTCTTAAATTTGAGTTTTTTTATTTTTTAATGAGCAATATAATGCTTTCTTTTTTATAATTATTATTATTAGAACATTTTCAATGGTATATGGATTGGTCTATTTTATCGTCACATGGCACAAAATAAATCTACGTGACATTGAAATGTTTATAAGTTTTTCGAGATGTAGAAATACTTCTAACAAATTCTTTTATATATTATATTATTTATTCAAGTTATTTTTCTTCTCTAATCAATTCCGATCTTATAAATGTTAAATTGTACCATAATTAAAATTAACCATTGGAGATGATATCCCGCAATTATTGCCTATCACCAATCGTTCGCCTACGAGTGCACTCATCTGCCTGCTCTCGCTTGGCCTGTGCGTCCGTCGTTGAATACTGCAAGGCTACTGCCCGTTGCCTAGCATCCGGTTCGATCCTACCCACTAAATGGCTTACATGCAATCTTTATAAAATATCAGAAATCCTACTAGAGAACCCGCTATGTTTTAAACTATTGAAATCATGCACAAAACCTAAAAGCCTTAGACACGTCCAAGGGTTCAATTCACGTAAAAGCAAACATATACATTGAGGCCATAACTGATGTAGATAAGATTACTACAAAACTGAGTTATGCAAATCTACCCACTAAAACTAGGCTGAACTATTTTACCTGAATTTAGGATGATCATAATAATTTTGAACTGATAAGTTGAAAAATGTGCACATTTTATATATTTCATGGTGTATTTCATACACTTAATTTATTCGTCACGTTTTATATATTTAATTGTGTATTTTATACACTTAATTTATTCGCACGTTTATATTTTTCGACCTATTTATTATTTAGATGAATTCATTTAATTTGTTATTTTATGATTTATTTTCAGCATGTTAGAGGATTTCTTTTGATGGTGAAATATCGAACTGGAGCTCTAATACGCAATTAGCGGGACACCAATACCGGCCCATTTATTCTGCCAGAATTGATGAATGGGAAATTTTCATCTAGCATACAAGATTTTGAAAATATTGCAAAAATACAATCTATAAACAAATAATTACATCTGTACCTAATATGTAATACATAACTCCATTAATGACTCAAGTAAGTTACCATATCCATTCAACTTCCATCGCCTTTTTATGGGCTTGATTAAGAGAGAGAAATGAAAAATAAAAACTGATTCATTTAATTCTTTACTTCACACAACTTGTAATTCACGCAGCGGTCAGGAGGTATATTTTACGTTTATGTTGGTATATATTCAGTATATGTTGTAATGAAAAACATGTCTTCCATCAAAAAATTATGTCTTTTTTTTTTTCTATTATTATTTAGCCATAAAAGTATACATAAACATATTATAACAGTTACTTATTTTTCCTATACAAACAAATCTTCTAAATTTGCTGAACATATATTGAACATATACTTCATATACACAATATATACTGAATAGTTTACAAAAAATCTTCTAATATACTGTACATATACTGCCTGCCTATACACGCTAACATATATTGTCGTGAACATATACTAGATATATTGTACATATACTCAACATATATGTGTTGTCACATAGATATATTGAAAACCGACGACTCACGGCGCTGGGGCATCTGGCGGTTGTTGTAGTTTCTAGCTCGCGCACATCATCACTCGGAGAACTGAGAAGCCAAACAAAAATTGGAATAGCGCCTTAATCAATGACAATCTTGGTATTTTCAGAAGTTACAGAAGCAATGTTTGTGAGTGCCCACGCCGCCTCAAACTAGTAATTGGAAAATATTTGACATGTAAGGACACATTAAAATATAACAAAATCAATAGCCTACAGAGCTAGCCAGAAATTGATACCTGGAGTTGAGGATAATCGTCTCTCCCAAGCAACTCAACAAAACGGGGAACAACTCCAAATTGTATAACTTCTTAAATAGGTGGATTCCTCTCTGGCGAAATACAATTGACCACAAGGCCCCAATCATCAGAAGCCCAAGAAACGAAAAAATCTCAACCAAAAATATTTACGCAGAACAAATCCCAGTAAGTTAAATTCATTAAATACAAATGAAAAATAAATACCTAGAGAAAGAAGTTTACGGAACTGAGTTGTAGCCTCTAGCTGCAGAGCAGCATCATTAGACCAAACCCCAACAACCATTGCAGGAAGGCTTTCCAACTGAAAAAGAACATCCAATAGAGTTCACTCAATCCGAAGGGCTAAGATCAATATGAAAAACCAAAGAGAATCGCAGCAGATCAGACGGATCGATCCAACTGACAAGAACCATCATCGGATCCGATCTAAATTATGCAAAAAAATCCAGTAAACCTTCCCTTGTTAGCAAAAGACTGAAAAACAATTGCAATCGGCTACTAAATTATACCTTCTTATCTGGCAGAGGAACAATCAGCTTCTAAATTGTCATCCTCATTCACTGCTACCTTGTACCGGCTCCGGCGAACCTCCATCCTCGAATTCGGCCTCAACAACATTGTTCCGTGGATCAACTTGAAGAGAAGTGACGGAAAATCAAGCCAACAACAGATCGTTCGTACGCGATAAACGATAATTGTGTGTGCTCGTGCCTGTGTAGTAGATACGACCGCTTTTTTTCAGGTTCGAGAGAAGGTTTTTGAGGGAACAGTGTCAGAGGATTTTTTGGGAATGGAGGCCGCCGATGCTTTTAGAGTGGTGCCCACTTGTCTGATCACAATGAGATCTTTGTTTCCAAATTAAAGGATAGGTTACTAAAATTTGAATTTTAGGTATAATTGAAAACATTTGTAGCTTCTTTAGGTAATTTTAAAAATAAGTATATAAGGGGTAGAAAAGTATAATATAATTTAAATGTGTTAGTATGGGGTGCAATTTCCTCGTGATGAATTGTGCCTGAATAACTTTGGCTCAATAGATGAGGAGCGATTTTGGACTCCAACAAAACTCACGCAATAAGCAATCTGGTGGAATTTTTTAGAAATGAATCCTAAGGAGACAAGGACAACAAAGATTTATTTGCTTGGGCATTTGATTTTTATTTCTTTTTCAAGTGATAGAAAAACAACTCCATAAACACTAATAGCAAAGTTTTACAAACCCGTAGGCCTACTAGCCCATACAACCAAAACAAACAAATACAAAGGATAGCCACCTACACGTGGTAGCCTAAAACACACTAAGAGACCCAAACTAAGAAGGCAATAGACAAACACAACCATTTGAGACCTAGAACCTCCAACAACAAACTACAAAGAACACCAAACAAGCAAACCAAACATAAACAAATAAATAAAAAAGGAGAAGGTCCACTGAACCCAAGAACCTAGACCTCTTCTTCCCTGCCAGCACTACACAATTGCAAACTCAGCCCACTCATTGCAGGCAGACTGCACAATGTCTCTTTCCCTTAGTTGGGAGATTTGATTGGTTGAGAGATATATTTGGTTGGGAATTATTTTCCCAAGGGAGGCCACTACTACGCGCAGCCAAAGTTAGTATGTGGCAGGGAAGAATTATTTGCTAGAAGAAAAGAAAACAAGCTGTAGCAGAAACTCACGCACGGATTGAAAGAGAACTGCACACCGAGGAAGGAAGCCGCCCACGAGGGAGAATTTTATTCTCTCCCTTATTTATTATTTACCTTTTTTAGTATGTTAGACTTATTTTTTTTATCCAGTTTTAGTGGATGTTTGAACCCTAACTTTGATTTGTCTATGGATTGAAAGATTTTATTTATAGTTGGTTAATCGAAACACTGTATTTATTTTTGTTGATGAGTCGATTCATGTTATCTGTGTATATGTTTATGAATTATGGTGTTTCGTTTAGTTTGGCTAATGACCGCGTGTCGTTACACGGCAAATTTAGATTTATAAATTTTACCTCGACTAAACCCTACTAACTAGTAGTAGTGGCGAGCAAGGGTCGATCCCACAGGGAGTGTGGTATAAACTATGATTTTATTATTTTAATTAGATTAAAGTGAAAATGGGGGGAGGGGGGGCATTTGATTTAAAACGAACTACTAGCAAAACGATAAATTAAACTAAAAACTAGAGATGAATGATTAAAATGCAAAGATGATGAAATCGAAATTAAATGAATAATCTAGAAAATATGAGAATTAAATCGGTCTCAGGTCGGTCTACACCCTCGAATAACTAGTCCAATTAATGCATTTATCAAATTTCACTCGTCTTCTAAAACTACCGGTCCTAGATAGCAATAAGCTCTGCTACCCGAATTTTCCCTTAATTTATACTTAATCGAAATAGGCTCTTCAATTATTCTAACTAGCGAATAACTTGGAATAAGCTCTCCTAATTTAATCCACTAGTCACATTAAAATCTAGGAAAATAGACCGATCTAAACCACAAACACATAAGCTTGGTTCACGTAACTTATGTTGTGTTATCCCTAACAATGCACGACTGTTAGTTGCTACAATTGAATTAAGAACTACGACAATTACGGATCGAAGCCTCAACTCTAGCAATTAACATGCAATTCCTAACTTAGGTGATCAAGTTAAATTAAAAATCAAACATTATGACATGAAACTAAAATAACACAAACAATTTCATACGACAAGTAAAACGAAATAAATAGCATTAATTAAACATAGT